ATCCGCAGTACCAAGATTGGGAAAGGCAAGATCAGCTTCTTGCCTCATGGATGTCATGCTCCATGAGTGACGCAATGCTCACGCGCATTGTGTTCTGCAAGACCTCTTTACAAATCTGGGAGAAGGTCCATGGTCACTTTGCATCACAAACGCGTGCGAAGGTGCGACAACTCAAGTCACAGCTCAAGAATACTAAGAAAGGTAATTTGATTGCCAATGAGTATCTCCTACAGATAAAAAGCCTTGCAGATGCGCTTGCTGGCATTGGTCATCCGATCAGTGAATCGGATCACATAGAAATCATTTTTGAGGGTCTTACTGAAGAATACAATCCTTGGATCACTGCTGTTACAACAAGATCTGATCCGTATACCGTTGAAGAAATTGAAGCTTTGCTCCTGGCGCAAGAATTTCGTATTGAGAAGAATCAAAAAGCTGTTATGGCAGCTACAGCAAATCTTACTCACACCAAACCTTCAAACAGGGGAGGTGGTCGGTCCAGAGGAGGTGGCCGCTATAATCGAGGACGTGGTCGTTCGACTTCGGGTGCTCATTCCTCTAATACCTCATCCACCGGCACATTTTTTGAAATATGTCAAATCTGTGAAAAGAAAGGTCACCGAGCTCATGAGTGTTGGTATCGCTTTGATGAATCCTTCCAAGGATTGAATCTTGCTGACAAGAACACCAAGAAAAACTAGAGTGCTTATGTTGCTACAGCTGAATGTGTTGGTGATCCGGATTGGTTTCTCGACTCTGGAGCCACCAGCCATGTTACTAAAGATGAACACAACATCTCAGAGAAATCAGGTGATAAAACTGTTGATCGATTGTTTATTGGTGATGGTAAAGGACTTTCAGTTCATTGCACTGGTTCTTCTAACTCCACTCTGCCTCATTCTCAATATACTCTTAAACTCAAAGACATTCTTCATGTTCCTGAGATTTCTAAAAATCTATTGAGCATTCCTAAACTTTGTCTTGATAACGATATACTAATTGTGTTCTTTTCTAATGTTTGTGTGATCAAGGATCTGCAAACTAATCGGGTCATCTACTAAGGTCGTCTCAAACGTCAATGCTCCAGACTTCATGGTGTCTCCTTATCAGTCCAACCTCCTGTCTCTCAGTTTTCAGCGCAGTCCTCCAGGTCATCTTCCCAGTTTGCTTATGTGTCTACGGCTTCTGATCGTAATACGTCTGTTTCTGATTTGAATAACACTGGTCTATCTTCCTTTCGCATTTGGCATAATAGATTAGGCCATCCCTCCTCTCCTATTATAATCGATGTCATGAAATCTTGTAATCTGTCTACTAGTAACAAGAAATCTATGTTTGATTTTTGCAATGCTTGTTGCCTTGGCAAAGCTCATCGACTCCCTTACTCTTTATCTTCTACTCAATACATCCATCCTCTTGAACTTGTTCATTCAGATATTTGGGGCCCTGCTCCCTATACATCTCGTGATGGTTTCAAATATTATGTTCATTTCACAGACGCTTATTCCCGTTTTACATGGTTTTATCCCCTACACACGAAGTCTAAAGTTTATGATGTGTTTTTGGAATTTAAGAAGATGGCTGAATTACAACTTAATTGTCAGCTTAAGGCTTTCCAGTCAGATTCTGGTGCTGAATTTCTCAAGATTGGTTCATTTTTAAAAGATCATGGTGTTATTCATAGGCTGTGTTGTCCATATACTCATGAGCAGAATGGACTTGCTGAGCGAAAGCATAGATCAATTACTGAAACAGGGCTGACTTTACTAGCTAATGCATCATTACCTTTTAAAATGTGGGTTGATGCCTTTTCAACTGCTGTGTATTTGTTCAATCGCTTGCCCAACAAGACGACTGGTGGAGTTTCTCCTTTTGAAAAATTATATGGAAAGGCTCCTAGTTATTTTCACCTTAGAACCTTTGGTTGTGCTTGTTTTCCTCTTACCAGATCATATAATAAGCACAAGATGGACTTCCAGTCAATTCCTTGCATCTTTATTGGATACAATGCTACTCATAAAGGCTACAAGTGTTGGGACCCAAAAGGCATAATGTACATATCATGATATGTTTGCTTCAATGAGTCTGATTTTCCTTATCCTATACTGAGCCCTTCTTCCTCTACTCCTGTCCTGTCTTCTAAGTCCTCCTTTGTCTTACCCCCTCCACCTGTCCTTTCTTCTGTGTCTTCTCAGTGCAATGCTACTAATAGTTCTGTTGCTTCAACTGTTCATACTTGCAGGTCTCCATCAAGTATCTTGTCTTCTTCTGCTACTGAACCTTTATCCTGTGAATCTAGTCAACCACCTGTAGCACCAGAACCAGAGAGACGAATAGTGACAAGGTCTATGAATGGCATTTTTAAGCCCAAAGCATATGTTGCTGAGATAGAACCCACATGTGTTCGTGATGCTCTTACTTCTCTTGTCTGGAAAAAGGCGATGGATGAGGAATATGAGGCTTTATTACGAAATAAGACGTGGCACCTAGTTGAGTTACCTCCTAATAAGCAAGTAATTGGGTGCAAATGGGTCTGGAAGAGGAAGACAAATCCTGATGGTAGTACTGCAAAATACAAAGCTCGCCTTGTTGCCAAAGGTTTTCATCAAATAGAAGGGTTTGATTTCAATGAAACCTTCAACCCTGTTGTTAAACCAGTCACTATTCGAGTGGTTCTATCCATTGTAGTGTCCCAAAATTGGGCCTTACGGCAAGTTGATGTGAATAATGCATTTCTTAATGGCTCTCTTCAAGAAGAAGTTTATATGCAACAACCTCCTGGTTATGAGCACAAAAACAAAGCACTTGCATGCAAGCTTGACAAAGCTTTGTATGGTCTTAAGCAGGCTCCTAGGGCCTGGTATGAGAAGCTGTCTAGTGTCTTCCATAAATTGGGTTTTCACAATAGCAAGTGTGATTAGTCTTTATTTGTAAGGATCACAAAATCTGATATTATATATGCCTTGGCCTATGTTGATGATATAATTTTTACTGGTACATCCTTTGCGTTAATTACCAACATTATCGGAGCTATGAATAAGGAATTCACACTCAAGGATCTTGGCAGTCTTCATTACTTCCTTGGTATAGAAGTTCAAAGGCCCTCTGCTGGTTTACTTGTATTATCCCAAACTAAATACATTAAAGATGTGCTTAAGAAGGCAGGGATGGCTTCAGCAAAAGGTGTTGCAACACCAATGGTGTCCAGTTTGAAGCTCTTTAAAGAAGGACCTCATCTATTTGATCAACCTGCACTTTATCGGTCCATTGTTGGGGCTCTTTAGTATGCTACCATCACACGTCCTGAGATCAGTTTTCTCAGTGAATAAGGTTTGTCAATTCATGCAAGCTCCATTAAAGGAACATTGGGTTGCTGTCAAAAGGATTATAAGATATCTTGCAGGAACAATTAATCATGGGCTATGCTTCACTCCTTCTGCCACAAGATTTGTTATGGCCTTCTGTGACTCAGATTGGGCTGCTGATTGTAATGATAGAAGGAGTACAAGTGGATATTGTATCTACTTTGGTAGCAATCTCATTTCGTGGTCATCCAAGAAGCAAACCACTATTGCTAGATCAAGTACTGAAGCAGAATATCGCTGCATGGCATCCACTGTCTCAGAGGTCTTATGGTTGAAGTCTTTATTTTCTGAGTTGAAACTCAAGATCCCTAGCATACCTCAGATCTTATGTGATAAACTTGGTGCAGTTCTTATTACTGCTAATCCAGTTCTACATGCCCGTACTAAACAATTGGAACTTGATCTGCATTTTGTTCGTGAACGTGCTATTTGAGGAGAAATTTGTGTTACTCACATACCTGCAACTAGTCAAATAGCTGATGGTTTGACCAAGCCCTTGTCCAGCTCAAAGTTTGCAGAGTTAAAAAGAGGTCTTCGGATAGAAGAGTACATCAAATTGAGGGGGAATGATAGTGTTAAGTAGTTAAACGTTGTTAATTAAGTTATAACTGAATGTAGTCCCACTTGTCCACTTGCGTCTATATTTCCCTTGTATAGCTGTCACGTGTAGTGGTCCCACCTCTATAAATATTATATACTTCTGAATATTCAATATAACGTATCATTCACTCCTTCCTTTGTCCTTTTTGCCCTGTTCTCTCTGATTTCCTTTACTCAAACGTCATTTCGGCTAAATGACATAATAATTATACCGTGACATGTGGGATCATGTAATTATCGTCTTTATTCCTTTGGTGTTTCTACATGGAACAAGTTCGTAATAAGAGATAATAAAATATTCACAAATTTTAAAATGACAAGAAGTTAATATGAACATTTATAGGACTAAATTATGGGCGAGGTAGATGAAGAGAAGCTTTTAAAAAACAAGCATGAGAGGACGAACTTACTTAGAAAGAAGCTTTTATTTATTTATTTAAAGGTGACTGAGCGAGTGGAGAGTCACCTAGTAAGGAACTTTGATTCCATTCAATCCTATTTGTCAATTAAGAAATGAAGACCATTACTGCATACTTAATTAGAATTTCTTCACACTTGATCATATTTGTCAGTTAATAAAAGGCGTACTAAAAATTTTATAATTTAAATTTATTATTTTTCCTGGAAAGGACTAGGAAGCTTTATTTTGCGTGATTTCAATAAATGCTGTGTTTTAGCATAATTTTTTCAAGAATTATCTGCAACCCGAGTGGCTATAGACAGTCGAAGAAAAACTGAACAAGTACTCCAAAAAAATAAATGAATAAATAAAAAAATCGTTAAGAATTAATTATTGAAGGAGCGTGCTCGTTGCGTCTCGTCTCTGTCAACTTTTTGCCTACCTCACAATGAAAAGAAGAAAAAGTACAAGCAGTTAACAAAATCCTTATTTTTAATTCTCATCAAACGGGTGAACGCAAAGAAACAATAATTTGGAAATCCTTCTTCGTATCTCTTTCAGTGCAAGCTCCCAGAAGTTTCCACCTTAACTACCTTCTCTTCTTCATTTCACTTTCGGCTCTAATTTTATTGCTCTTTTCCATTCGCTGATCTTCGAAAGCTAAGTGAGCAACTGTGACTCCCCTATATCCAGCTTAATTCCCACTGAGAAACGCGACCAATCATGAAAGTGATAGAGGAGAGTTTCGTTATTGGACCATCGTCATCATCATCAAGACCGATTCATGTTTATCTAAGTTTCAAAGGAGATGACGAAACTTGTAGATTCACAGATATGCTTTGGGCTGCTCTTGAGACTGATGATTTGAATACCTTTTGGGATGATAAGAAGCTTGAACCAGGTGATTCCATCTCTCTTCCTCGTCATTTTCTTAAACCAATTCGACAATCCAATATTTCCATCGTTGTCTTCTCCAAAAACTATGCTTCTTCTATATGGTGCCTTGAGGAGCTCTCAGAGATCGCTGCACGCATTCATGAACCGCGATATACTGTTTTTCCAATTTTCTGTGATGTCGATCCATCTGAGATTCAAAACCAAAGTAACTCTTTTGAAAAAGCTTTTGCTCAACATGAACAAAGGTTCCCAACAAATTTATGCAAGGCGCACATTTGGAGATCAGCAATAAATCAAGTGGCCAATCTCTCTGCGGGTTGGGATGTACCATATGAGTAAGTAAATTTACTCTTGCTTTTTTTTCTTTATCAATTATAGTGTAACGGGGTATTGAATAAGTTACTAATTGGGTGCTTTTGTTTCTGGTTTTACTTCAGCCCATACCCACGAGTTATTGATGACATCGTTATAGAGGTCAAGAAAAAAGTACGTCAATTGGAGTATGTTGATGCAGACTTAGTAGGAATGCCATCTCGAGTGAGAGAAATAGAAAAGCTTCTAGAGCTGGGTATGAACGATGAAGTTCGCATGTTGGGCATTTGCGGTATGGGTGGGGCAGGAAAGACAACTTTTGCTAGAGTTCTACATGATAGGATCTCTCATCATTTTTATGCTTCTCATTTCATAATCAATGCATCTGAATTTCACAAGGTTGCAAGTCAAGAATATCTCAAAAATAATATTCTAGAAAATATTCTCGTGGTTATTGATGGCATTCGTCTTCCCTTATATGTAAATCAGATGATCTCGCTTGTAAATTCTAACATGTTAGGTGGAGGCAGTAGAATCATCATAGTAACTAGAGATGAAGGAGATCTTAAATGGTTTGGGAAGCATTATATTTATAGGTTTAAACTATTGAACAAGGATGAAGCTCTTCAATTATTTTGTAAAAAAGCTTTCAAATGTGATTTTCCAGTGAGAGGTTATGAGGAACAAATAGATAGTGCACTCCAATATGCAAGTGGTCTTCCATTAGCAATTGTAATACTGGGCCATTTCTTATATAATAGCAGAGGTTTTGAATGGAGCAGTGCCTTGGTTGAATTTAAAAAGGTCGCTAGTTCTATGATAATGAAGGTCCTCAAAAACATTTTGATGAAATGGACCACAAGTGCAAGGAAACATTTTTAGACATGGCATGTTTTTTTAATGAGAAGAATATTAAATTTGTAGAAGGAATTTTGGATAGTGTTTATAGATTTTCTCTTGATGATATACTCAGACCAGTGAAGTACAATATACAAGTTGTGATTGAAAAGTCACTCATGGCCATTATAGATCAAAAAATTCAAATGCACAGTTTAGTGCAAGAAATGGGAAGAGCAATTGTTCGGCACGAATTTCCATGTAGGCCAGAAGAGTGGAGCAGATTATGGGATTTTGATGACATTTTTGGTGTTATGCAAAATGACACGGTAAGTTTTTATAACGTTCTTTTGGTTGAAACATTAACATATAATGTACTAAAATTGAAGTAATTTGACTTTGCATCATTTTTATATAAATGTTTTTATTATCAGGCCACTCTTAAAGTTGAAGCAATAGTCTTGGAATTAGAAGATTCACAAGGGCGTACATTGAGAGCTGAAGGTCTATCACGCATGAGAGATCTTAGATTACTCATATTTCGCAATGTAAAATTTTCTGGAGTCCTAAAGCATCTTTCCTTGATGCTTCAATATATTTCATGGCACCAATATCCGTTCACTTCTTTGCCATCAAGTTTTCACCCCTTTTATCTTGCCGAATTGGTTTTGCCTGATAGCCGTGTCACAAGTATATGGGATGATGATGAAGGAAAGGTAGTTAAAAGATGGAAGGTAATGTTTGTTTGTTGTTTTTTTTTTTTTGGTTAACAAATGGAAGGTAATGTTAATTGTGCCCATATATGCTCTTGTAGATATTGTTTAGCTAATTGTTTGGAATTTTTCTATCCACAGAGATTCTATCGCTTGAGAAACATGAATCTTAGTGGGTCTAAAGATTTAATAAAGCTGCCAAATTTCGAATCCCTACCAATTCTTCAGAGGCTAGAGCTTGAAGGATGCAGTAAATTATCACAGCTTGATTCGTCAATGGCTTCTCTTTCAACACTCGAATTCTTAAATTTGAGGAATTGTAGTAATCTAGTTAGTATTCCCAATGATTTATTTTCTCTATCCTCTTTAAAAATGTTAAATTTGGCTGGTTGCTCCAAATTTGCATATTGTTTGAAGTTTCTTCCTTTTGATGCGGTGCTTGGTGGGAGGAAAATCATTCAGCAATCATTTCTTCCTTGCAAGCGAAAGACGCTATGTAGACAAAAATCTATTTAAGTCAATTATATTTGATATTCAGAAATGCTATTTTACACATTTAATCTATTAGTCATGTTTGTTTCTTACATGCACCTCTTTTTTTTTTTTTAAATTTAACAACTTTCCAACGTTACATTTAATATATATTATACATATCTTATGAAAATAAAATCAACATAATATATAATAAATGAAGCGTACAATTATATATTCATATAAAGAAATTTTCTCACTATCCCACAAATAATTAAACATCCATGAAAATTTATTAGCATTGTTGAGGTACATTTAATCCAAAATTTATTAAGTTAGGCGCCAAAAACAAGCCAAGTTCCCTATCGGATACTTTAATCCAGAAACTGATTGGGCCTCTATAATACGTAAAGGATGAAAAGCCTTTACTGTCACAAATCTAGTTGTCCTAGCATCATTTTTCCTCAGTCGCTGATCCCTAACTACTACCATCCTTAGAAAAAGTTCAAAAATAAATTATGCAAAAGTCTCAAATGAGAAATTTATTTATAATTAAATCTCTATAAAAATACAGCCGCAAATATCTTAGGACCTGGTTAATTATAATTTTCTGTGGATGTGAAAGTGCCACATTGTCTCCTTCAGCTTTAGGGTTGTAAATTACGACAATTTTAGTTGTGAATTTATTGCCATTAGTTGTTCGTTGTAAATATGAGAGAAGGAATTTTTAAAGATCAAGAGGTACTTTTTTAAATGGGACAAAATTTGTTGGGATTAACTTATTTGAAGTTATTTTCATATAACAGGAGTTTTGTCTCAAGAAACACCTATTCCTATTTAAGTGTACTTGGGGATTTCCCAAACAAACTAGATAGTTGTAACTAATGAGAATTTACAGGTGTAAAATTGAAAGGCATCATGTGAAAGGACAACATTTCGGTTAAGTTACTTATATTTATTAGGTCAAGTTTTTTTAATTACACATGTTATTTTGTCATTAGTTGTTAAAATACATATGTACACTTTTAAATTGACCATGACCACTTGTAAATTTTTGTATTAATTATTACAATGTAAATTAGAATTTGTAAATTTTTATAAGATACCTGTCATATTGTTATTGTTAGTGATTAAAATGTACGTGTATGTGTGAACTCTTATAAATTTACTTATAAAATATGAACACTTGTTATTTTATTTTTTTAATTATTAAAATGCGTATGTGTAATTATAGATTCACATATGCAAATGATTGTTGGAAATTAATTGCCTGAAATTTACAACTAATTATCACGACTTTACAATTAAATTTCGTAATTTACAATTGAATATGTCCACAGTTGACGGAGACAATGTGATCCTTTCACCGATCCGTACCAATTTAGTCAGCTAGGCGTGTAAATAAGTTTCCTTATAACAAGACAGAATGATACTAATGAATGAAAGCATGCACTACAAAGTAATATAAACATGAGGATAGGGGAGAGATTAAAACTTGTAGTGTTTGAATTCACGGTTGGGCAATTTTACTTTTATATGAAAACTCACAATAAGTTAGAAGCAAAAATTTGGTGTTTATGGGCTATGCCTTTTGGCTTTTGAAAAGTGAAGAGAGAAGAAGTTAAAAAAATAGGGTTTCACTTTTAAGAAATTTACTACTCCCTCTAATTTTTATTATAAATTTCAAATAACTAATATATAAATAATAAAAATAGTTAAAATTAACTGAAAATAATAAATAAGTTATAAATATACTTTTGATTTCAAATATACCTTTATAATAAATAAGATAAAGGATAAAAGAAAATATATGAAAAAAATATAATTAGAGAGTATAACAAAAGAGAGAGAATAAAATATAAGGAGAATCCAATATAAATCCAGCTGAAATACCAAAATGCAAATTGAGACTTATGTTTTGAATAAATTCCTAATCAAGACCAAAGGCCTAATTAGAGATTTGTGAATGTTGTTGAAAGTTTAGAATGAGTTGTTACCTTTATATTTTTCTGCCTCACAAATTCTCTTCCTGAAATATAAAAGTAGTAGAAAATCTTTAGTACATGACAGGAAATTACAATACAATCATTGATCCATATTAATAACTACTCCAACACTCTAATCAATCAAATAGTGTAGTTCACTACTAGATTTTAATTTTCGAAGGGTTTAAGTTTTGTTCAGTTTTAATATTGATTCATCCTCCATATATTTAATAATATATGCACATGTATATTTGGAAAACTGATAAAATAGTGGTGACAGAGGATCATAATGTATAATTGTTTTGTTCTAAAATAATTAAAGGAAAAGGCATGCCATGTTGATGAATAAACAGGAAAATATTTAAAAAGCCATTGTGTTGAGGATGAAAGAGAGAAATATGGACCATTTGACCACTTATTTGAGCCGGAACCTTTTACAAATAATTGATTAGGAAAAGGATTTGTGGGGAGAGAAATATAGAAGTAACAACTCATTTTAATTGTTGAGGGGCATTTTGAACTTTTAAAATATTCATAAATTCCTAATGAGGCCTCTTGGCCTGATTAGGAATTTATATAAAGTGAATGCCTGATTTTGAATTTTAATATTTTAACTGGATGTAATTGGGATTTTCCCTAAAATAATACTCCTCCGGTCCTTAATGTGACCCATTTAACTAATTTGATTAGATTAAGGAAGTTAGGTAAGTTAGTTAATTATAAGAAAAGTGACACATTTTTCCTAAAACACTATAATCATCTTTCTTAATACCCCATTTCCCTCTTTTACTTGATTATGGTTGAGGGAGTATTCATAGGGGTAATTTAGAGAAAATTGATAAATATGAGAAATGTGTCTTATATTTAGGACAAAATCAACTCAAGAATTGAGTCCTATATTAAGGACCGGAGGAGTATATATTAATAAAATTCTTGTCTTTTTTAGTTATTTTACAACTAAATTTATTTGTTTAATAATAATCCAAACAACTTTACTTTTATAAACTGACTTATTTACAAAAGCTAATCCAAACAAAGATCGCATCACTCAATATAACTTTTACCCAATCTAATTTTTTCAAAAAATAAATCGAAAATAAGCTATATTTTCTACGGCTAGTCCAAATGAGCACTAGCAACATTACCAAATAAAGGAAGAGGGAGTGAAAACAAAAAGCATGCGTCTCTCTAAACAGCATATAGCTTGTTTGGTTTTTGGGGTGAGTGATAACCTCTCAAAATTCCTACTGAGTTAAGCTGATTTAATGCTCTTTTATAGGGTTTGAAAGTCAATTTTGTAGGAAACAAAGCCTGAGGAGAGTAAAGAATGGAGAAAAGCTGAAAAGAAGTCAGCCGCCGCGGCCTCCGGGAGAAAACGCCGCGGAGGATCAAACAGAAGAGGATGAGGGCGTCTCTGTAAAAGGCGCTGCGGCGCCCAAGCTATCTCGGAGCAAGCCTGTTCGGTGATAATCCGCTGCGGCCGATTATCACATGCGCCGCGACGCCGGAGCCCTGGTTTGTGGAGCACCTCGGGCTATTATTAGTGATGGCGGTTCTCACTTTTGCAATCACCAATTTCAAGCTCTGATGAAGAAATATAGTGTAAAGCACAGGGTAACTTTGGCTTATCATCCTCAGTCAAATGGCCAAGCAGAAATATCCAACCGAGAGATCAAAAGCATTCTTGATAAAGTAGTAGGTGAAACAAGAAAAGATTGGTCATTAAAACTGGATGATGCTCTTTGGGCCTACAGGACAGCATATAAAACTCTGATTGGGATGTCTCCCTATCGGTTGGTGTTTGGAAAAGCATGTCATTTGCCTGTAGAATTGGAACATGGAGCTTACTGGGCCATAAAAAAGCTCAACTTTGACTTTCAAGCTGCTGGTGCAAAAAGGCTCCTTCAAGTGAATAAATTGGAGGAATTTCGCCTTAATGCCTATGAAAGTGCAAGGCTCTATAAGGAATGGACCAAGAAGTATCATGATTAGAAAATTATCCCCAAGGTCTTTGAAGCAAGGCAAAAGGTGTTACTTCATAATTCAAAATTGAGATTATTTCTGGGAAAACTCAAATCACACTAGTCAGGCCATTCACTGTGGTACAAGTTGCTAACCATGGTGCGGTGGAGTTGGAAAATGAAAAAGGTGAAAGATTTCATGCAAATGGCCATCGTTTGAAGCATTATTGGGGTGGAAAGGTGGATCATCAAGTCTCTACGATCTACTTTGCTGAACAATCATAACAGAGCTGAAGAGTCAAGCTGAAAACTATAAACCAAGCGCTACCTGGGAGGCAACCCAAGCTCTAAACTTGCCTTTGATTTGTTTCTTTTATTTCGGTTTTGTTTTAGTGGATTTACGGTTGATCTTTGTTTTTGTAGGCCTTTTGGTTTTTTCCTCAAACTTTGGAGCTTAGCAGGAGTGGTTGATTTCTAATTAGCGCAACCAGGGAAGTGCACCTAAGCTTAATCTCCAGTAGTGGCCTTGACCTTGATTGGTTTGAATTTGTGTTAAATTGAGGCTTGTGGATTTTGCTTTTATGTGGTTGTTTGTGTTGTGTTTGTTTTTATGCTTGTGCTTGTGTTTAGTCTTATTTTATTGTGTGTAGGGTGTTTGATTTTGGTAGGTCCAGTCTATGTTCATTAATTTTTCATATTATGCCTTCTCTGTTTGAGGCGCCGCGGCGCATTTGATGAGGAGCCGCGACGCCTTGTCCGTTTAGAGTCCTCTTTCTATAATAGGCACCGCGGCCCCTGTGTTAATCCGCTGCGGCACCTTCGTCCTTGGTTTTAGATCCCTCTCGGTAAAAACCACCGCTGCGTTTGAACATAGATGCCGCGGCGCGATTACTTAAGCCAGGAGTCTGCAGTTCTGTAAAAGGCGCCGCGGCGCCTTGGTGAATCTGCCACGGCGCCTTCTCGCAATATCTAATCTTCTTCTTTATGTTCCCCGTTTTAACCTTACTCATTTTTCTCAATACCCACTTTGCCCTTATGTATCTGACCGGTTTTGAGGGTAGATTCATTGTTTTAATTTTAAAACCCTAACCCTTTGGTCTTTTCACTCTCCATACCAATTTCAAAACCCCCCCACATTCCCGTCGACATGTTACTTCTCCCATTGTGTATCTTCAGTCTCTCCCGTCGAAATACCAACTTCTACCATAGCTAGCCGATCGTTTCTCCGTCTCCAGCCGCTGGTCGCTTCTCCTTCTCTCACCGCCAGTCATCTTCTCGGTCTCCCACCACCAGTCATTTTCTCTCCCGCCGCCTCCTTCCTATTTCCCCTCACCGTCAGCACCACCCTTCTGTGTGTTTGTTTTAACGCCTCCTCTCCCTTAGTCGTCTGTTGTAGGTATATTCTTTCTTACTCTTTTATTTCTCTTAATTTAGTTTAGTTTTGCTAAAGATGGGTATTACTAGAGTTATGCATTGTAGTTAGATGATTTTTGAACTCTAGATGGGGGCATTTTGATTCTCTGAGGTTACATTGTGGTTAGGTGATAATTCCTTATTGCCCAACTATCTGTGAACATGTACTGAAGAAAATGTGATACTTGTGAAATTGAGTGATCATAGCTTGGACCTGATTTGAGAAAATGATGTACTTGTCTAAATTTTCAAATAACACCGGTTCATTATCCAAGTTATGTTATTCTTTTTCACTTGTAACTAATTTGGAAATGTTATTCTGATTTAGTGAAATTAGTTTAAATTAGCAGCTATTGATGGTTGTCTGATTTTGAAATTAAAAGATAAAAGAGAACCTTTGTGAACTTGGTTTGAATTGGGGGTATTTTATAACTCAGGTTTAGAAAGGGATTAAGTAATGGTGAGTTGGTGTTCTGGCTCCTTGATTTAAGTTTGGGGGAAAGTTTTTCTTTATTTTTAGGTTAGTTTTCTTCTTTTTCTTTGTCAGTTGTTTTGTGATTGTGGTGTGTTATTTGTTTAGTTCGTGTGTGGTGTGCTTTGCTTTCTCTTTGCAGGTAACAATCCAATGGCCCCCAGGAAGAAAGCCCGTGCTACCTCCCCTGATCCTCCAATTAAAGAGCATATTAAAAAAAGAGGTTTGCATCAAGAGAGAGAATTTTTGTGCACAAACAAATTCGGGTTTTATAAAAAAGCAAAGAAGCTCAACTTCTTAAATCTGATTGGTCCCAAAGGCAAAGGGAATGAGAAGCTGGTCAGAAAATTCTATGTTAGGATGGCAGCAAACTTGAGTAATGAGATGTTTAGCTATAATTTCAGTTGGGAGAGAGACTAAGTGTTGGTCAGACAGACACTCCTCAAAAGTTAGTAAATGACTAAGTATGACTTTAATAGACAAAAAGCTTCACTGGGTAGTAAGAACAGTAACAATGGTGTCATACTCAAGACCAAGACCAGCAAGAAGGTAGGTGACAAAGTCATCATCAGCTACAAGTTTCCCAGCTATTGCAAGTGAGTCTGCTATAATAGTGGCACGTTTGTGATATTTAGAAATACTTTCTCCTCCTTTTTATATATTAGTGATTTGTTGATGAAGGTGAACCAACCGAGCTTGAGTCTGTTGAGAGAAGGAAGTTTCAAGAGCAACCCACATTGCCCTTGAAGTGCAATGCCTAATGAACTGTGGAATAATCTTTTCAGAAAGTGAAGTAATAATAATAGAAAGGACCATTTGATCTTGTTGGAACCAAGTAAGATAGTCACGATTGGGTAAGCAGTAGGAAGCTTAAGAGGAGGCTGAGGTATAGAACCATCTATATAGCCAAATAACTGTTGGCTGCAAAGGTAAGGCATAATCTGTACATACCAAATGAGGTAGTTATCTTGAGTGAGCTTGATTGTGACATAGTAGGGAAAGTTAGGGGGTGGAGAAGTGAGTGGATTGGATGAAGACGACGGAGATTGAGGAATGGCAGTAGAAGTAGATGAGGTATTTGGAGAAGGAGAGGAGTCCATATTGACCGCTAGGCTAGTGGCTCTGATACCATGATAAAGTTAAAGAAGAAAAAAAACAAACAAAAAGAATCAGACAAGAAAAACCATTGAATAATAGAAAGGACCATTTGATCTTGTTAGAACCAAGTAAGATAGTCACGATTGGGTAAGCCAGTAAGAAGCTTAAGAGGAGGCTGAGATATAGAACCATCTATATAGCTAAATAACTGCTAGCCACAAAGGTAAGGCATAATCTGTGCACGCCAAATGAGGTAGTTATCTTGAGTGAGTTTGATTGTACCATAGTGGGGAAAGTTAGGGGGTGGTGAAGTGAGTGGATTGGATGAAGACGACGGAGATTGAGGAATGGCAGTAGAAGTAGATGAGGTATTTGGAGAAGGAGAGGAGTCTATATTAACCGCTAGACTAGTGGTTCTGATACCATGATAAAGTTAAAGAAGAAAAAAAAACAAACAAAAAAAATCGGATAAGAAAAACCATTGAATATTCGTATGATATTTCACTGATGGGATTGGTCTACAGTGATTGTCCCTTATATAATGGATGAGACTCATGGAGAGATAGACACGTGTACAAAAGATAAGAATGATCTAGAATAATAAAATAAATTTGTATGATCATCACATGACTTCCTCAGACATTTGGGCAGAGAGCAATTTCGAAGATTTAATAGAGCAAAATAGGAATTGTATAAATATTTTGCTATTACATGTGGATTTTAGATCCCTCCTGACATTTTCTGTTCTATTATTTTGATGCTAGATATGTTAAGAGATATGTCTTTGGGATTCATGGCTGCAATCTATTGCTTACTGTTATACCTTCATCCTTGCTCTTTAATTTGGCATTTGCAATAGCCAGACTTTGACTCGTGAATGTGGAGGCAGCAATTGCTAGACCATTTCCATCACAGTCAAATGGAAGTGGGAACAGGTTTGTGTCATGTTGGGTAATTTTGGAGCCTTGATGCGTCACTGCTAAAAGTTTATGAATCAGTGTTGTGTGTCAGCCTCAATCAGCAGGTTTATACCTATCTTGAAAATTTCCCATTTAGATTCTACCTTTTATATGCTGTAAATACTCACCATTTAATCCATGGTTATGCATTAAAGATATATTGATGTAAAGTTTACTAACTACTATACCATATTAGTTTATTATATTGAACATAGATGGAATTTCTTTATGACAATGATATATTAATTGGATATGTCACATTTGTGAAGTTGGACAAATAACAGTTGGCAAGAGTCAAACATTTTTTTATAATCTGGAGATTGGAAATGGATGTTAATTTGGTCAAAATATCCTTGAGAACTTTTAATCAGATTATGATACAAGCTTACTGCCAGTACTTTGTACATCCTATTGAATTCCAATATGCATACCCTCATGAACATGATATGCTTAATGTATTATACACTTGTACAAAATGGTTAAGATGAACACATTTCCAATCACAGCAAAAGTTTAGCATTCTGTTCTAATTCTCATCTCTATTTTGATGTTAACACAATACGA